GGGGGGGGTTAGAAGGAGTAGTAGAGTGTGGATGGCCCCTCGCTAGGAGGAGCTAAGTTCTTTGGAACATAATTCATTTTAAGACCTATTTTACACAAACTGGCCATTGTTATCTTAAGACAACAATTTAAAACATTTGATTCCAATCATTAACTCTGTCTTGCTTTAATGTTCTCTTTCAAAAATGCATGGCCCATAAAAAAAAGCTGTGTGTACTTAGTACTTTTCCATATATTCAATCATTTCCTTGATCTGATCAGATCACAACTTGCAAATTTTTTTAAACTACTTATTCAACTTTAGTACACCTTCAAGCGGATGCAGGTGGTAAGAAGTGCTGCTTCAGGAAGTAAATGTTACCGGTTATTGCCTGATAAGGAGAACACTGCATGTGTGAATGTTGTAAGCGAAAATTGTGCGTCTGTTGATGGTAGAAAAGTCATGATTTATGCTAGTTGCACACAACAGTTGTAAGCAAAAATTGCGCCATCTAAATTGGCTTTAAGAAGGATACCAATGGGACCAGCATAATCGCATGTCTGATTTAGATAGGTGTTCTACAGAAGTGATCAAAGTAAACGATCGAAAAGAAGCAAGGTCCAAATCTTGGTGTTCGTTTAAGACAGTCGTGTCATTTGGAAGTGTCTGTTATGAAAAAGTAGTCGGCACTACAGTGTGGTTGACAGTATTGTATTCTAAAGTCACCTATGGATACATGAACATCAACCCAATTGCTTCAAAAGTGTAATTAGTTCTAATTTAGCAAGAGGAATTGTTGGTAAGAGTGTTATGGTATGGGTGTTATAGGGGTATTTGAAATCTTTTGCTCCAATTAATGACAGGCTCACTCTTATCTTCACTTATAGGCTAGCCTTAAAAGCAATTCAAGGTGTCGAGTCTGTAACTTTGTATAACTGTCTTGACGACTGTATATTGCGAGTAGTACTTTAGGGCTAAAGGTTAGGTACATACAGTATATAGGGTTGTCACTAAGATTTCAAGGTGCCAGGTAAATACAACAAGTAGGCGGGGAATCAAACAGCTACAATGTAGGGGTTCCTTTTGGTTCTATTTTTCTTCTACTTTCCTTTGAAAGTAGCTGGAAGTAGCCGGGGAAAATGCCCGGCTTCCGCCTCTTAATGACAGCCCTGACTATGTGTAGCTCCATATGAAAGGAATTTGTGTTTGAGCCCTTCAAGCCTGAAAATCGGTACGTAGTTTTTAAAACTGCTTGTGTCTGAGCAAGGCTTAGGTTTTGTCATCCAGGAGCCAGGGTCTGAAAGTGAGTTTTGTTTCTCCATCACTGGTCACTAGAAAACAATGTTCCAGTGTTTTAGTGTAAGAAAAGTACACATACTGGAACACTGGAATTTTGGTATGGAGGTAAAGTTTTCAGAAAACGTACTGCACATGTCTATCAAAATTGTCCAACTTCCAGGGCATGTAACTTATAGACCATAATTTATGGGATATTTCTCATACTAACCTGATATAACAGACTTGGTTGTAGCTTGAGACATGTTGTCATTTCCCATTACTGTAAAGAAAACAAAATTTGAAAAGATCAAACAAATTTGCCTCTTTCTGGTTGTTTCACAACAACATGATTT